AATTTCAATTATTATTTTCACTTTACGAATGTAATGTGTGCTCCACCCACTCCACTTCAATTTCATTTTATTTTCATTTTGTGCTCCACCCACTCCACTTCAGGCAGGTTCACGGCTTTTCATACTCCGAAATATCCACATCTTTTGTTCACACCGAATCTATGTATCCTTCTTCAACTCAAGTTCTCTTTCTCCAGATTTCTACCCCGAATCTACATCTCTCTAAAATCCTACCCGCTTCTCCTACTTCTTTTCTCATATTTTTCTCCCCAAAAAACACCTATTTATATCATTTTCCCACTTCTTTGTGGGTATCTTTCTCTTTGCAAAAATAAAGTTCATTAGTCAACAGGTAAGTTCCACGAAATCTTCCCACTTCCCACTTATTCTCAATTTCCTATGTATTTAACAGTAATTATAGGATTGGAAAGGGTTTAATTTATTTGGTTGTTTGTTGATTTATATTTCTTCTATCGGTCGGGTTTGTTATTAGAATATGCATCAGAATGTAGATAGGAGAACAATCGAGCTGTTTTGTTTCGTATTAGAATAATTAATTTTTAACTTCGTTCAATTCCGCAATTTTTTTTCCCTTCTGTATTCGATAGTCGCATAACAACAAAGTTTTCCGACTAAAATGTTTTTCTTTTTGTTTTTCGTTTCAGAAAATGATTGGATTTTTTTTCCGTTGCAAAATGGAATTGTACTTATTGAAATCTTGATTTTTGATTTCAACAGTGGATTAAAATTGAGAAGTGATTTTTATTTAAACAGTGGATCAGTCGTCAGGTTTGTGCAATGACACCCGACTGTCAATCAAGCGATTAGGAAAGCGAGTCTTGGAAGCAAAAATTATATCAGGCACCAACATTGGTCATAAGGTTTTTATTCCACGACTCACTCTGACGCCATCCGATAGCAGAATTCCTTTTAAATTTCTACGTCGCCAGTTTCCTATCATGCTTTCGTTTGCAATGACAATAAATAAAAGTCAAGGCCAGTCTCTTCAACATGTGGGTATTTATCTTCAAAAGCCGGTGTTTTCGCATGGACAATTATATGTTGCTATCTCAAGAGTTACCAGTCGCAAAGGATTGAAGATACTTATATGTGACAAAAATGAAAACACTTCAAATACTACGACGAATGAAGTTTATAAGGAAGTGTTCCAAAATTTGATCTAAGTAATTTATTTATATTATACTTTTTAAACTTATTATGTTTTTTTAGTATTGCTGACTTTAATATATTATGGTGATGATATATAACTTTTACTTTTGAAACTTATTATGTTTTTTAGTATTGTTGACTTTAATATATTATAGTGATGATATATAATTTTGGGTTATACAGTAAATTTTAGATTGAGATATTATGTATAAGATTCATACTCTTAATTAGTGTTTGTTTGCAGCACTAGATGGGATAAAATTATTTTATGCCGCATAAAAAAGTGTCTACTTTTTTTGGTACCTCTGATTCTCCCATCCCCAAGCTTGGCAACATTCGTGGGTGGTTAAAATGCATAAAGAACTTTGAATTGTCTGTGAATTTATGAAATTTAATGTAGGTGTTATGAAGAATACATGGTTCCATTTTGACTGTATTCATGAAATTGTTTTAAAAGTTCATTAAGAGATTAACGTATTAATCTTGGTATTTTATATTTTTTTATCAAGTATTTAAATTAAGATTTGTTTATGTAACTGTAACTTTTAGCAAAAGTATGGTAGCCGTAGGAGCTCATTTTAATCAGTTTTTTAGCAGTTTATTTACCATATAATTGGTCTGACTTTTAAACGCGTGCATTCCTAAATAAATAGAGTATTAGTCTGCATTAATTTTATTCCAATCCGTGCATCGCACGGGTCAGATTACTAGTAATTAATGAAATGATAATATATATATATTGATAGAGACGTGGCTTTATGAGCTCTCCATTTACAGACCAATATTTGTCTGCCCAATTGATGGATCTTTACTAATTGCTTCGTATATATATATATAATATATTCTTTCAATAATGAACTTCACATTTAAGTTCGCCGAATTTACATGTGGTTTTTTGATTTATTACACTTTAATATTTCAGCAAAATTATTTTATTTCATATACGAGGAATCTCAAAATTCGGCAGTTTCACCAATAATTAATCAACTAAGCAATGAATTCGAATTGCTTACTTGAAAAACGAATATATAGGACTTAGGATTCCAAACAAATAATTTTAATCTGTATTAAAACAGAGGCGTTGATTCTCCTCAAAAGGCTGAGCTGGAACCTCCTTCTCATCCAACGGGCGAGATTGATGCTAATCATCTCTCTGTGGTTGGGCTTTAATCAATCGAAAACGGAGCGGGTTTGGGGATCTGGGCTGCTCCAAGATTTGGCCCTAGTTCAACTTAGCGACCCGCTAAACATCGGGCCTTCTCTATTTGGGCTATGCTTCTATAATTCTACAAGTAAGAAAATGGATGATGTTACACCAATTTCAGCAGCGACGAAATTACGAAAATACCCTGAGGTCACTCTAGACCCAATCGATCGAGTTTTTCTCAATAGGTTCATCGACCACAAACCTACTTTCTCAATTGTTTCCGACAAAGGCGACCAAAATATTCACGTAAGAGATTACACAAAAACCCCTCTTGTTTGGATAATTATATCTACCCCATCAATTATATTTTTTTCTTACATCTCCATCAGTATGGTGTCAAATTCAACATAATCATCTAGATTTCGTGGGATGTTATCTAGTTGGGGTTGTCTAGGGTCCGAGAGGGCTGTACTTCTCGGACAGTAAGATATTTAATCTGATGCGTACAAAATGGTTAAATTTTAATCTCAGCCATTCATTAATTTGTACGACCTAGTACGATCTAGTACAATACCAATAATTCGAAAATTAATGTACGAACCCAGCAAAAGCACATCGTACACCATCGTACAAACATCGTACTTTTTATAAATTACTTAATTAGCCTTATAAACTTAAATTAATAATTAAAATATCTATTAAAAATATTATTGTAATCATAATTAATTAACATCATATATCCAAAACAATGATTTAAAATATAAAAGTGTGTAATCAAACACAACATAATCACATTCAAATTACATCAAATTGCATCGTCAACGAAAATGGAACTTCTTGGGTTCTTAAACATTTCCCCAAAAAATCAAAATCCTCATGAACCCTAATTCACCGTACGCAATTCTTATCAAGTTCGTCCACCCCAAATCATAAGGACCTGTTCGATTTAATTCCATATTGGCACCGATTCAAGTGTCGTACTTCCGCCCTGTACTACTGCATCCCCCCATTTTCTTTCGAATTTAGATTTTTTTTTAAATTAAGTGTTTTGTATATGATGTCGGACCAATATTTTGATTTTATCTCTGGTTTGTTATTTGCGTTGTAAATATATTATGTTTAGAAATATCATTTGATCCTTGAGTTTCTGAACTTCATTTTGTTGAGTAACTCAACAAAATATGCAGGCTAGGAAAGACTGGAAATGCTAATGATGCTAAGGGGTAAGGTATGGTATTTTTTTGTGATTATCTAAACAGAAATGTGTGGGAATATTTTATTTGTTAAAAAATCATTATTTAACAAGAAAATGTAATTGAATCAAACAGATGCCAATTTTGAAGCCAAATATTATATTTTTTCAAGTTTAAGGTGAAAACTTTTTTAAACGTTGTTCTGAACATCGACTAGTAAAATTCGATTATGTTTCTGTAAGGCACTTAGGATTCGAAGTGCTCCGAGGTTTGCTGAAACAGAAAGGACTAGGATCGAGAAAGGTTGGTGGATAATGTCTGACTTTTGACCAGTTTGCCCTTAGAGCTCCCCTTGGCAGAACACACTTCTCATGAGAACCTCTCTCAAGGCTCGTCAAGTAGTGAAATACTTTGTGCGATATAAAAGAACAGAAGTTTGAGAGGGCTAGAGAAAGGAGGAACGACACCGGTATAAGGTTTGAGTATGATCATACGGTTGATTGTAGATTTTATTTTGTCAGTTCTAATAGTATGAATTTAGTTTTTCCTTGTTCTAATAGTATGAATTTAGTAAGCCTATAACTCAGAAGAACCGCGGCTGCACAATTGTATATATTTCGATAAGAATATATAACTGAACACCAAATATTTTCAGAAATTTCGTAGAGAAAGTGGTTCTTTTTGGTCTAAACGTAACTGTGGCACTCATGGTTCTATTTCTCCATTCTTGCAGGTCACCTATAAAATGGAAAACTCCCTAGCAAAAAATGGCCGATTGAGCTTTCTTAATTCGCAACTATAAAGGTTCCATTGTCTACGCCCATGCACAAGAGCATCACTGCACCAATCGTTAGTTGCTGAGATCTTTGGAAGCTAAAATGGATGAAGTCATTTTGGAATCTGATAGCCTTAATGCCACTTTTTTCATTAGTGTTCCAGAAATTTTGGTTTCTTTGGGATGGAATGATTTTATTCATGTTAATTTGTTACCTCTTTTATATTTTCGTATAGGGGTTTCCCTATTATAGACTCTTCTATTTCTTCTTAATGCCAAGCGACTTAACGTTAAGAGCTTGATAGTGATTAACAATTTGTCAAACTTGCAAAAAATGCAAATTGTAAGATCCGTCTTTTAAAAACCAAACAGAAGTGCTGGGAGTAAATATCGATAGAGGGAAAAAAATGAACAGCCACTTTCTCTGCATATAACATGTATGCACCGTCTCCTGCGGCGGCGGCAGGAGACGGTGTTGATCTGCACATCATAAATAATCCCGTATGTGCTTCGATCGCTTATGCTCTGGATAAGAAGCCTTCAGAAGATGAAGAAAGAAACGTCATGGTTTACAATCACGGCGGCGATGATTTGAGCGTGGCCGTGTTGACTGTAGAAGAAGGTGGTGTTTTCAGTATGAGATCCGCCGCCAGAGAAACCCAATTGGCCGGAGATGAATTCACCAATCGTCTCTTGAATCACTTCGCGGCGGAGTTCAGCCGGAAGCACAACAAAGACCTAAGCGCCGCCGCCGCGTCTCTCTGGCGGCTGAGGGAGGCCTGCGAGAGGGTGAAGAGGGCTCTGTTCTCGAAAACTAAGACGACAAGCGAGATTAATTCACTGTACGAAGGGATCGATTTCTACGGTTCGATCACGAGGGGGTATTCGAGTCCCTCACTATGGATTTGCTCCTAAAAAGTCAGGACGTAGTAGAAAAGTGTTCGGAGTGCGCCCATATTTCCGGCATACGACGTCTTGCCGAAATAGTTCTTGTCGGAGGAACCTTGAAAATACCGAAGCTGCAGAAACTATTGGCGGATTTAGTCGGTGGAACGAATATCCGCAAGAACATCGACCCTGTTAAGGCGATCTCGTTCGGGGCCCACCTCTGCAAAGACACTCAGCTCAATAGGGTTGCGAAAATAAGGCTTCTTGATTTCATGCATGCGAACATCGGAATCAAGACCAGAGGAGGAGGGTCGGTGGAGGTTTTGATCCCGGAGAAGACGGTGATTCCGGCAAAGACAGAGCAGTTTCTGACCACTTGCTTCGATAGTCAGTCGAATATGCAGATTCGATTGTTTCACGGTTCGAGGGTTCCTATGGACACGAACAACAGTAGTAAAATAACGGAGCGGAACTGGAGAATTCCAGTGGCCCCACAGGGCACCGCACGGGTGAAACTGCGGATCGAAATCGATTATCTCACTTTGTCTGTGTTTATTATGGACAACCTTATTTTCGAGACTACTAATCTGTGTGGGGCTCCAAGGTGATTAAACAAATGTGTGAGAGTGAGAGAGATTGAGTGCATTTTTAACATCTGCAGAAGTTGTAATTGATTTTGAAATCAGTAACTGATCATTTCGTACATGCAACAAGATTTTACATGTATCTTATACAATCAAACTGCTTCTAAAATAGCAGAAGCATATTCCTAAAGAATTTAACAAAAATAATCTTTAGAGAACCTCTGGACTATTGATGGGCTCACCCAGGCCGTACACAACGCTTCTATTTCCAGGCCATGAATCTTGTTTTACGACCATTGCTTCCTTACTTTTTAAGAGTTTTGCCCATAAAATGATGGTGGGTGAATTTCCAACCTACAAGAACGAACTTTCATGTGACATGGCAAACGGAAAAAAAAAAAAAAATACTCACTCCTGTATAATTGATATACAACAAAATACTCACTCTTGTATAATTGATATACAACAAACACATTTACTGTACATTCAATAGACATGCTTAAATACTCACAAGTTGTAAAAATGCAGCAATTTCAAACCAATATTGCAAAGTACAGTGTTCAGGACATAAAAGTGGAACACATAATACAAAACTTAATAGAAGAAATCTCAAATAGACATTTTATCGAACATCTAGAAATATTGCTTGGCCAAAGTGGTCATATAATTCAGAAAATGTTTATATTTGAATATGGGTAAATCAAAACTCCAAAGAAGATATTCTATAACTCACTTCAAAAGCCATGTCAAATTGGTCACACGATTTCTCCGCAAATTGGGTACACCTTATAAACTGCAGGCTACCTTGAATGCCCATTGAAAACATTTAACCAATATCAAAAAAGAAAAAAGAAAAAAAACTTGATACATCAAAAACGAAAAGAAAGAAAAGGGGCTTTATGCAGAATACAAATGAAGATCCGAGGAAGGGGTACCATTACGAGATATAATTTACAAATGGCTACAAAATTGCCCGAAGAATAGATGTTGACAAAACCTGAATCGACGGCCGGAAGAACAACGGTGAGAGAGGGAGAATTTTTTACAGGGATGAACGCAGAATTCCTCTTTTACTATTTTAGGTTACTAATTTATGATAATTATTTATTTGTAATCAAGTTTTAGTTATTAATTATTAATTCAAATTAAGATTTATTTTTAAGGGTTTTTATGTAATTATACATATAATGTAGGTATCGTACTTTTTTTTACTAGGTACGTACTATTTTTACATGGCGCAATTTTATTGGTTGGTTATGGTGGTACCCC